CCCGTCGTCATGTTCGTCGTCGCCTCCTTGGCGATGCCGACGTCACCCACTTTGATGTAGTATTTGGACGAGAGGAGGATATTGTCGGGCTTGATGTCACGATGGACAATATTGTTGGCGTGGAGATCGTTCAAAGCGTTGGCCACCACCCATGCAATCTCAATGGGTGTGTATGCAGCAGGTACCGTGTCGTCTGCAGTGATCTTCTCGAGGTACGACGTGAGGTTGCCGCCATCCATGTACTCAAAAAAGAGCTGCGGCGCGTCCGATGCGGCATCAGCGGTGGCAACGAGCCGCACAAGGTACGGTGACGGGTTGCTATTTACGTGATGAGTCGCAGAAGCGTCGAGAATGAAAGCAGTACTCGATGAGAATTTGCATCTCGGCTTGGAGGCTCGCAGCGCCAACATGAGAATTCCAAAGCTCCTTGATGGCCACGTCTTGGCCTTGGAGCGAGCCCTTGACGACGATGCCGTAGCTGCCGCGGCCAAGCTCTCGCAAATGCACCGTCGACACTGCAGGCACCTGTTGGTACGGGCCGTTAGAGCCTTCTCGAATGGAGCTAGTTTGACAGAGTACCTGCATTGGTGGCTTGCTCTGGATGTTGTGGAGTTGCTCGATGAGGGATGGAACATCCATCTTGGTCACGATGGCTTTCGGCGACTCGCCAAACTAAATGTGTTTTAATACTTGCCAGTGTCAAACAACAATGTACCTTGTTGACGCCGCTGGTGTCGACAGCGGGGTCCGTCAAAAGTTCGGCCAACAGAGCCTCGTGGCGACCAAGCAGTGCCAAGTGCACGAGCGTATTGCCGTGCTAAAACCATTGTCAAACATAAGGCAACCTAGCTTGTATGTTGCGGCTCCGAGATTGTACCTCGTCTGTCTCGTTGACGCTCAAGCCCTCGGCCAGCAGCGCTCGAACAGCAGCCAGATGACCGTGGCGCACTGCATGGAGCAACTCCATTTTCTAGTCGAAAGAGTCGAGATCGCGCGTCTCCGACCCTTCTCTACCTTGGTGCGCACGTCGTGCAAGACCTCGAGGACGCTTGCGTGTTGGTTGCATCGAGCGACGATCACCGGCGTCGACCCATCCTACGTGTATCGATCACGTCATTGCCATGTATTGCATCAAGTCGTACGCGTGCCGGCTTGTCGAGCTGGGCCTTGGCGTACGCAAGCTGACGCACAATGTCCGAGTGACCGCTGCGGGCGGCCGCATAGAGGGCCGTGCCGCCATGCTACATACGAGATGTCAACGCAACGCGAACGACGAGTGCATGCCTCGGTATCGATCGCGTTGACGTCGGCCCCCGCCTTGAGCAGAAGCGCTACAATCGCCGAGTGACCGTTGGAGGCCGCAACGTGAAGGCACGGCTCCTGCAGTAGTACATTTGGAAAGGGTTTTGAGATGCCGGGTTTTACTGCGTCAGATTGGTTGACGGTTGCACCAGCTTGAAGCAAGGCGACGACAGCGGCCAGTTGGCCCCACCCGCAAGCACTGATCAACGGCGTCCCGCGAGCCTGATCGGCATATTCGTTGATCCATGTAGTAGTGCGAGACGGGACATACGATGGAGGTTGCGCTTGGGTTGGCCCCTTTTTGTACGAGGAAGCGAATCATGTCGGTATGACCGCCCATGGCAGCATAGCTGACGACGCCATGTCCGTCCTAGTCGTACTCGATCGTTTAGAGTTGTACATGCAGATGGACGCTACCTTGTCGACACTGAGCAAGTTGGCGCCACTCTGGAGCAGTCGCTGGGCAATGGCGACAGAGCCTTTGTGAGCGGCCACCAAGATGGGCGACACCTCGTACTAGTCGTCCCAGCAGTATGAAAGAGTCGACCAAACGCGTCACGAAGCACGTACAGGTGTGTACTGGATGTTGACACGGGCACCGGCCGCGAGAAGAACATCAACGAGGTCGTCGCGGTCACGCTCCACAGACGCCGTCAGCGCTGTGCCATGCTACGACACCGAGTGGTCATGCGAATCGGCGCGTCGACGGCGCCTACCATCGTGCTGTGGTTGACGTTGGCGCCACGCGCCAGAAGTAGTTGGACGAGCTCGACCGAACCGACGCCAGGCGACGCCATGAGCGCGGTCGCACCTCCCTAGCGCACACCATTTGGATTGATGGCCTTTCTCACGCGACAGCGCACCGATGTTGTCATGTCGACGCTGGCGCCAGCATTGAGAAGCAGGCTCACAACGTCAACATGACCTTCCAAGGCGGCGAGGAAGAGCGCGTGTTCGCCAAACTAAGCCGCGCGTCAGTTGGTGCATGGTTGCGAGGGTACCTTGTCGCGGTAATTGGGATCGGCGCCGTCTTGGAGGAGCTCGGCCACTGCGGCCGCATTGCCACAAGTCACGGCGTCAATAAGATCCATACTCTACGCATACGCTAAGCCCTTCTCGCTACGTGGGTTGGGCGCCGACCGTACGCGCTTGCCCCGGATCAGGTTGAAAGTGCAATGTGGCGCCTGTCGAGTGCACGCAACCCGATGCAATCGAGTTGTAGAGGCTATCCGGTCATGCTGGTATGTGTTTTAAAAGGTTTTTGAGTGCAGAACCGAGATCTCCTGTGGCAGCTCCATGGTGCCGGCTTCAACTGGCGACCGCTCTTGGTTGGCAAGGCAGACGTGGACAGCTTGGCTACTGCACTCCAGCCATACTACGGTACAGTTCAATATCATGGCAAAATCTATCCGTACCCAGCAACGACTTTGACAGGATAATACTTCCACAATGTACTGCACGCAGGTCGGTGCAGCCCCACCATCGAATGCTATGTCATGCACGTCGCAGTGTCGATGGGAAGGTGTCCTATCTTGTGTCTGAACCTTGCCATGAAACATGGGTACTAGCACGGCGATCACTACAACTAAAAAAATAGCCCAACGATACGCAGTACAATGTACAAAATAACAATCATTGGATTGATGCCATTACACCAACTAGGCCTTGACATATCCCACGTCCTTGTCAAACTCGTGCTCGTCGCCCGCAACAAATGACTGCCGCGTCTCGTTCGTCTCGAGCGCAAGCTTGGCCTTGAACTCGTTGTCAATGTTGGACATGTCGCCATCGTTGTTGTCAAACATGCAGAACCACGTGAGGAGAAGCGTCAACAAGCAAATGCCCGCAAACGTGTACCACGTGCCAACGTAGCCAAAGCCGGGCGCCTTCACCCAGTGCGCAAAGCCATACGAGCCAATGGCGGCGCCTGCCTTGCCCATAGCCGCCGAGAAGCCGTGACACGAGCTCTTGATGGCTGTCGGGTACATCTCCGTGGGCATGACGAACGTCGACATGTTGGGGCCAAAGTTGGAGAAGAAGAGCGTCAAGCCAAAGAGAATGATGAAGAGCGCGCTCTGGCCCTTGATCGAGTCCCACCAGATCGCCAGTACGAGGAAGATGATGGTCATCCACGTGAGACCCTGGAGCATGATGAGCTTGCGGCCCATCTTGTTGATGAAGAAGCATGCAACGTAGTACCCCGGCAGCGCCACGGCCGAGATCAACACGTTCTGGAGCGCGATCGTCTTGAGCGTCGAGTTGGCGCCAATCACCGAGAGAATCGACGCCGAAAAGAGGTTTTGCGCGTAAAACACAATGTCAAAGAGGAACCACGTGCCGGCCGTGCCGAGGAGGCTCTTGCCGTAGTGCTTGAGGATGAACGACCAGCGCACCTTCTTCATGTGCACTTCTTCCGCGAGCATCGTCTT